ATGCTTTAGTCCTACTGCATCTATAAGCCTTGTTTCCTTGGTGTTCTCCATCCCCACCAGCTCTTACAGTCTTTCTGCTGCTTCTTCTGCAGAGTTTTATGAGCCCTAAGAAGAGGGATTAGATGGAGAAATCCCATTTAGGGGTGAATGTTCCAAGGTCTCTCACTCTCTGAATACTGTCCAGTTGTGGGTGTCTGTATTTGTTCCCATTTATTGCAGGAGGAAGCATTTTTTACTTTTTAGAGATAAACAAAGTGTTCTGTGTAACTTTTTTTTTTTACTGTGCTATCTTATAAAACCTGGTTACTTAACTCTTTTCCTCTAACTAACTGTCCTCACCCACCTTCAACCCCACACCCACTTGAAGGTAACCATTATTCTACCTATAATTTTTATACCATTAGCTTTTTAAGATTCTAATTATGAGTAAGACTGTGCAGAGGATGTTTATCTTTTTGTATCTGGAATATTTACCTAATGCCATATAGGTACATCTATATTGATTCAATTGACAGGGTTTCATCTTTTTATGTCTTGAAGGACCAGGTCTTTAAAGTAAAATCCTTTACTATAGCTTTACTGTGGTTTGTGGAAACAATACAATTAGACACTTAAGTTTAATGTGCTATTTCTATCCCTAGAATTCCAGGATGAACCTAAAGCTACTCCTAATTGTTTATCCATTCCTTCTCCCTTCCTATCTGACCTTCCAATCACAACGGCATTTTATTAATATTAACATGTGCTAGTATGTACTAATATTAACAATTAGCATACACTAACATTATAATATATTAACAATGCTTTGGGGCTGATTAAGAGAAGCCCTAGCCTGGGTCACATTTTTGAGGACTCTACTATCTTGTTCTTAGGCACAGATCCCTGTATTTTGAATGAGCAAACTGAGAGAACCCTGATGGCAGTCTGCCTGAAGGTAACAGTCCTTTATTTGAGATATTTTACTGCCATCTGCTGGAAAAACTATGAAATAACTGCAAACTGTATGACAATTTAATGAAAGGTGCCCCTGGTCACTTTCACAGAAATGAACAATCTACTGTACCAGATGGCTTCCCTAGTCCTGTTCCCAGCTCTATTTCTGCTTTGTTCTTATCAATATCTGACATTATAAAGCTATTTTTGGGCTTATTGTTTGTGACTCCATTGTAGAAGGCAAGTGCACAAAATGAGGTTTTATTTTATAATTTCAATGCTAACCCCTACAGCCTACAATGGCTTCTAGTACTATCTAATAGTGTTACTGAAATCAGCAAAAAAAAAAAACTGCATTTCAAACAGGCAACAGAACTTTTAAGCGTAAACTTATCCTCCTCCATCTTTATAATACTAATTTCATTTGGTAGTTAATTGGTGGACTCTCAGTAAAATGCCCATATTGGGATAACAACGTGAAAATTTATCTTTCAGGGATACCAGAGAAAACAGAATTTTGAAATTTATGTTCACCCAATAGACTTTCTCTTTCACCCCTGGAGAACAATGGAATTTTTGGTTACTATGAAACTGTAACAAAACACACAAAGAAAACAACTTGAAATAGCATCTTTTCAAAAATAATGTAATCCTACTATAAGCACTTCATGGTGGCTCTAACAGTACTGTATCTATCAAATTGAGGACCAGAACTCAGGGGATAAGTCCGTGAACTGCTTTAAGTTTTAAGAGAGACAAAATGGCATAGAAATCATAAACATCGCTACACAAATACTATTATCATGACTGATTAACAGACATACCCTATCCTTTATCTTTCCACGCCTTTATTCATCATTAATATTCTTTATGCAATCAAAGTCACTCAATATTTATGGAGTACCTATCAACCTGCCATCCCTTTGAAAAATATACAAAATGAGTTATCCCTACTTGATGTTGAATTTCCTCTCCAAATATACTGTCTTTCTAGCCATTTCAGTATGGCCTCTGCCACTATATACCATTGAAGCTGATATATTGTAGACTTACATTCACTAAGAACCTTAATGCTGTGAAATCCTAAGATGGTTTTATTTTTAGTCTTTATCTTAATGCTTCCCTTCAGTACCATATAATAATGCTGATAGTAATTCTTAACTATAGTCTCTGCTCATTGAGTCCATTTATTTGACAACATGATCTTTGCGAGCCCCCCCGCCAAATTAGGTAAGTATAACATCCATACAGAAAGGTGCTCAAATGGATAATGTTCAGCTTAATGAATTATCCCAAAGAGGACACAGGCAATGAAACCACTGCCTGAGTCAACAAAGGGCCATTGAAAACACTCTAGAAGCTAGTCATATTCTTCCCTCTTGCTAATTTCTGCATCTTCCCTGAAACTAATCACTAACCTGACTTCTAACACCAAAGAGGAGTTCTGTTACTTGGAGCTTCATCTAAATGGATGAGATAGCAGGCACCATTGGTTGTATTGTTCAGTGAATTCTTCAGTAAAATACGATGCCAAGCCTCTCGCTCATTTTCCCCTAGGAAAACCTGTACACATACCAAGTCAACCCTTTCCTGTCCTGGGTCTTACAAACACACTGTCCTGCTCCATAATTTGCATTCTAACTTTCTTAATGGTATTTTAATACATAGTTTCTAATCTTTATTAATTGGATCGGTTATTTCCCTAATGATTAAAGTTATTTGTCTTCTATTGAAGACTTTCTGCAAGCCTACTGTGCTGCTTCTGTTTTAGACCTACAACACACCTGGAACTGGTTCTTGCATGACTTGGGAAAGAAGTGAAGTTCCACACCCTAGCTCTTCATAAGGATTATCTGATTGACACAACACCAATGGCTGAAAAGACTGCTTCCTCGCTGCTCTCCCAGGATCCCTTTGTAACATTTTTGAATTCTGTTCAATTAGATCTATTTAAATAGTTTTTGATATCCAGAGGTTAGGTGGTATTCTTTTGTTTCCTTCTACTCTGCCTTATTTTTGGTGTGGTTTTGTTTTAAGACTATAGCTCTTATGAGGCCATGAATGGCCTGAAACTTGCTATATAGACCAAGCTGGCCTGGAATTCACAGAAATCCATTTACCTCTGTCTCCAGAGTACTGCAAGTTCTCAAACACTCAATACACTCTAACTCCCATGCTTTTCATTTATTTAAATTCTTTTTTATAATTTTCTGTGTAGAAGTTTGCACAGCACATTAGATTTAGTTTTCTTAATAGTTATTGTCTTGTGATGTTGTATTAAGCATATGAATTTTTTCAATTTCTACTTGCAGGCATTCAGAAATAATTAAATTTTTGTTTCTATGTATATTTGTTCTAGCTTGTTAAGTAAAATAAACAAAAGCAACACACACACACACACACACACACACACACACACACAACCTCTAAGAGCCTACTCTACTTTTTCTTATTCTTTGGACTGGCACTAAATGTGACAAACACAAGTGTTCAACGGAACATTCAACAAAAGGTAATCTTGCTTAAAGAAAATTCACCAGGAAATAAAAATAAAACAAGCTAATTCAAGATTAACTGACATAAAAGAGAAGAGTATCTCCAGAGATAAGCTTTGCCCTCTCATATTAATGAGAGTAAATTTCAGTGCTAAGGTTAGGAAAACAGCTCTGAAAATTATCACTAAGTCTCATTAGTCAGGCCAACTGCCAGACCTGTCCAGAATAAAAGTCAGAGAATTGCTCAAGATCAGACACCTTTGTTACCCAACAGCTTATATTCTGTCTTTAGGAAAGGGACCTGGAACACAGTATATATTTAACTATTTAATAGTCATTAATTGTCTCTTCCAGAACTCTGTAGTAATTCCTCAAACTATGATTATACTTTCTCAAACCTAAATACTTCAATATGGCAGAAATAATGAAAAAATAGAAATGAAAGATGGTGGCTCTTGGCCTGTTTGCATATATGGAATATCAGTGCATGTGAAATAAAACAAGCTATAAAATATTTACACTACAGTAAGTTTTCAATATTATGTGGGCCTACATTGGCTTCAACACATGCTAAAGTGGTTCAAAGTAAACCAAATGGCTGGAATATGGGTGCTCCAAATAGTAAACTTGGAGAGAATATTTGCTAGCCTAATTTTTTAAAGGCATAAAGTTTTACAAGAAAATAAGAGAAATGAAGGAATTAAATTCTGACCTACATTTAGATAACAAAAACCTTATTTTAGAAAACACAACCCAAATCACAGAATTATAGACATTGACGACCACCACAGAAACAATAAATTACTTTTTATTTACTTACCATGTATCCATGAGTAAAATATTTATGCTTCATTAAATACATAACAGTACAATGTAAAAGCCCTAAAGCAGGACATATTTTTCAAATTCCTTCATTATTCTAAATTGTGTATTCCTTTAAATAATTGTGCCATCTTAATTACTTAAATATTGCAAAACAATAACACCTAATGATATGTAGGATACAAAATGCTATTGAACAATTCTTTGGGAATATGACAACTTAAATGTGTTTGGAGTGTTTCTGATTTGGGGACAGTGTGATCATCACTAAGCTATTCCTGATCTGAAATGGAAGGGGTTAACATTTCTTCCTTTGTCATCTACTTGAACCACTGGTCTGAATATAATTTATGTGGGATATACAAAGTTAAATTAGCCTTCTCTGACATCCACAAAAACATCAGCAGCTATGAAAAGGGTGTGTCTAAATCACTCAATACCAAGTACTCTCACAGTGACTGAAGCAATACTACCAATGCTCTGAAAATCCAGAGATCAGCAATAGTGCATAACTATGCCATCCAACTTGCCTAGACCAAATTTTACTGAGTTGCACACAGATAAATTTTATTAGCATACAATAACTGTGGCTGCTTGGTTATAACCCTGATGAACTTTAAATGTGGATTAACAGGCTACTGACCTGAACAAACAGGTTTAACAAGAAGCATACAGTGTTTTGTTTTACTGTAGCAGCAACAAATCCACAAATCATCCAATAAAACATAGGGTTTTCTTTCATTAGCTTACCTAGTTTAGTGGTGCCCTCTGGTGGGTACTCAGGAAACTGACCCTCTGAAGGGACACTGACAGTTCTCCTCAGACATCGCCCTTTGGTGGAATCTGTCTGTTGCTCCTGTCCTTCGACAGGTATCTAGCCAAGAGAAAGAAAGAAAACATAATAATGAACTTGTCTAAGTACATTCTGACTGAATAACATTTTTAATTAAAGAATACAGTAGTGTGGAATGAGATTTGAAAGTAGGAGAAATTTAAAATGAAGTGTAAGAGATGGTAAGATTACCAACCCTTTTACAGGACACAGCTCTTTAGAAAGAAAACTGAAGAATCAGGAAAGGCAAGTATGTAAATTAGCTTACCTGGAGACTGTACAAATCCTAGCTAGCTGTCAACCTGCTCTGGAAGCTCCGAGAACAAAATAAAACACCCACACAAATAAAAGCCTCCCTCTGTATCAGAAACTGGTTTATGAACTTTAATTTTATTTAATATTCAAAAAGGTAAATGTTGAAATAAAAGCTCACCATAAAAATTAAGTTTCAATGTTCTTCAAAAAGAGGGTTAGTTTTTTAAAGATTTTAAATAAAATCATCCAACTTTTATTCAGTAATAGAATCAAATGTATTTCCAATGCAAGCACAGATATTTGCACAGGTACAAAGAACAGCATATTTTATCTCAAGGGTGTGATTGTTTCTATAATAGTAAAAAAATTAGTTTCAAAAGCACACTGAATAGTGATTTGTATAAGTGAATGAGAACTATGAATTTTTAAAAACTCTATTCAGCAAGTTATTACTGTAGAATAATGCATGGCATTTTCAGGGGGTGGGGAATAGTAGTTTCCTCACATCTAAAAAAGATGCAGTCCAAGGCCCCAGTGAAGCAACTGATGCGTGGAAGCATAGTACTATATATGTACTTACATTGTAAGTTACATACCGTAAGAGATTCATAACAATAACTAATAAAACAGAACAAAATAAAGTTATTGAAATGTCTTTTTTTCTTCATTACTACCCCATACTTCAACAAACTTTATCATATTTTTATCTTTTCATTAAATGAAACAGAAGCACCTCACAGCTTCTCTTTGGCATCAGAAGACTACCAGCATCTCATCTACTCCTATGCTTTTGTTTTTCTGAAGTAAAATAAAAGATACCTAAAGACAAGCACCATCAGAATAGCACTATTTAAAGATACTGTGCAGAACACAACAACTTAAGAATTAGAATTGTTAACTTCTGGGTTTTTTGTTTTGTTTTTCAAGACAGGGTTTCTCTGTGTAGCTTTGGAGCCTGTCCTGGAACTAGCTCTAGTATACCAGGCTGGTCTTGAACTCACAGATATCTGCCTGTCTCTGCCTCCCAAGTGCTGGGATTAAAGGCGTGTACCACCAACGCCCTGCAATGTCTGGTATTTTTTAATAAAGTATTTCTGAATTATGTCTGGTCATGGATAAATAAAACTGTAGAAAACAAATCCATAGACTATTGTAATGCTGAATTTGGGAGTAATGGGTAAAGATATTTTACAAATGATATTTTTTAATTTTCATTACAAAGTGCATTAGTTTGTTAAATCGTGTCAGTAATTAATCAGTTATAAATTTTCTCATGCTTCTTGAATAATTTTTAAGAAATCTTAGTTAATAATGAGTTACATTTAATGCTAAGGAAGGATATAGGATCTATATTGCAACAAAGGTAGAACAGTTGGGGGTCTTTTCAGTCACTGGTGCTGAGTCAGATAATCTCTATGACATTGAAAGGTATGGAACTTAATTTATTCCTTATACTACATAAAAAACTAGTTTCCAGAACAGGCTGTAGCTCTAAAAGAGAAAAGTAACACAATAAGGCTTGCTGAATGGTATTGTGGTGATCGAGGATAGAGGAAAAATGTATTTAACATTAGACAGCACTAATGGGGAATGGGTAGGGGGATATGGACAATCCTGCACTATGAGGAATTATTATAATCATCTTCTGACACCTGAAGAACAATTTGTATCTTAAGGACAACAATCAACATGCATCACCAAATCAGAAGCAGGTAGACTTTCATATGACTTTCTGTAATGCTCAATAAACCAATCCCTGGTAATTGAGGTCAAAGACATAATAGCTTTTTGTCTGTTATGAAGCATCTAAAGAATAGCTATCAATGCACTTCCTTAATACTGAAAGTTTACACATTCTTTACAGTACTAAGTATTATTCTTCCTTCATTACATTAATTGTGCTTACTCTTTGTACAGTAAGAAACCAAAGGGCAGAATTAAGAAAAATAAAATTATAAAAACAGGTCATATAATCAATAAAGACAAAGTTCTTCCTAAACTACTAAATAATAAAAGCTCCATGTAACCTAAGTCATCAATCCCTTTCAAAAGTAATCATTCATCCCTTTCAAAAGTAAACTATATTGTCTTTACTTAAATAAAGAGTAGCACTGAAATGCTAAGTGACTTTTACTTTAAAAGGAAAAAGTAACTTTTACTTGCTCCAAAAGTACAAATAGGAGGCTGGAGAGATGACTAAGGGAGCTGGAGAGATGACTCAGAGGTTAAGACTACTGTACTGGCTGTTCTACCAGAGGTCCTGAGTTCAATTCCCAGCAGCCACATGGTGGTTTACAACCATCTGGTGCCCTCTTCTGGCCTGCAGGCATACATGCAGGCAGAATACTGTATACAAAATAAATAAATCTGCTTTTTTTTTTAGTAGAAACAAAGGGAGTAAATTTAGAAAAGAAAAAAATGGAATCATAGAGCAAATAAACATAACTATTTGTAATGGTTTTCAACTGTCTATTACCTGAATAAACATTTAATGTCTACAGAAACAATCAATAACTTATAGTAGTTCAGGGTAAGATAATTTTCCCCCTGTGGAATTTTATAAAGACCATATCCAAGAGAAAGGGATAGATACTTGTCTACTATATGCTTTGTTTCCAACTATAATGATGAAAACAACAGCAATAATAATAATGATGATAAATCAGTCTTGCTATCTGGGCCTAAAATTTATTATCAGTTATTTTCTCCAAGTCTTAACAGAGATGTTGCATTTCTAATGCTTAAAGTTAAACTACTATCAAATACTTTTTTCAAAGTATTTACTTTGAGAAGTTAGGTAATTTTACTCTTGATCCAAAGAAAAGAAAACATCATGAGATTTAAATTTCTTTTTTAAATGTGTTATTTATGTGTTTACGTGTGTGTGTGTGTGTGGGTGTGTGTGTGTGGGTGTGTGTGTGTGTGTGTGTGTTATTTGCATGGCCACATAAGCCGGGAGAGGGTATTGACATACCCTGGAGCTGAGGTTACAGGTAGCTGTAAACTACCTCTGAGTATGGTAACTGAACTCTGTAAAAGCAGCAAGTGTTCTTAACCACTGAGCCATCTCTCCAGTTTCCCTAATGTGAAATTTCTAGGAATATTTTATTATAACACTCTAGATTGCTCCTTAGCTATAATATTTCAAATACACCAATTTATTGGTATTCTCATTCCTTTCAAATGAACCAAATTAGAATTCGCAAATCTTAGAATTCTGCTACAGAGACAGTTTCAGATATCAATTTTCTCTATTCTGACTGCCCTAAATTTATTTTATCACTTCATACTATTGTTTTAAGAATTCCTCTTAAGAACTTACACATCTCCCAATTTCTATGACATGAGGATACTTTTGAACATTTCTTTTGCCTTGGACTAGGCTTCTGAATCACTCTGGATTCATAAATGAATGAATGAATGAATGAGTAAACAGATAGATAAATAACTAAATAAAGCAACATTTTAATTCCTGTCTTCTATAGAAGAGAAAAGGCAGAAACTATAAGGAATATGTGGCTTCAATAGCTTCTAAGATGTATTCCCAACAAAATAAAAAGCAAGTTCTGGTTTGTCTTCTTGGTTAATTGCAAACTGTCCATGACACCTGCAGTGCAAAGTGTTACATGTAATTTTTATGCTCACATAATGCATATATGCTTCCTATAAAATTGTCTTTCACCTTGTTTAGAATCATATGAAAATTAATTTCAATTTATTCTGAATTCATCAGATTTTTATAATTCCCATTCTCAGGCTCTGCCCACACTTCCTAAATCAGAAATGTGGTGGTAGAGCTCAACATTCTGTTTTAACAAGATGTGGTGTTCACTCATGGTTGACAGCCACTGCCTTAGGTGCAGTTTTCTCTCCTTCCTACCATGGATAAGCATTTCAAAGCATCATCTATAATAAGACTTGCAGCTGTTACTCAAACTGTACTAACCCAGGGGAGCTTTGACACCTTATCACTCCTAAGACATTATAGTCAGGCAAAGCTGAGGGCTGTTCATCTATTCCCCATCTCTAACTACTCTCTTCTTGAATCTTGCCCATGAGTACTTAGTAAACCAAGATACATAAACTACCTAGCTTTACTAAGCTTCAATTTCTGTGTTTTTGAGGTATGGTCTCCCATAGATTGCAGGAGTGCTGAAATGTTAAAGGAGTCTCTCACTGACAAGTCCAGGCCTCTCTACTCAGCATAACAATGAGTACCTCTTGTGTTCTCAATCCCTAGGTGTTCTCTGGAAAATCTTCCCTACAAAAGCATAATAGAACCCTTGGCCAAGATCTCCTGGATAGCCTCCTGTTCAGTAGATCTACACTTCTCCAGAGGTTCTCTGCTTCCTCAGCTTGAAGTTTGGATCACTGTGTCTCAATTGAGAAATGGTACATGGCAGGGAGCTGCAGCGAAGCGACCACTGCAGTGTTAGGCTGCCTGTTATCCAATGGTGAATAAATATGTATCCTGGGGAAGAGGCTGGTTTCATTGTTTACACAATATGGACTAGTCTTCTAGCAGTTATTCTATCATAGCCTGTGCCCAGTACTTACTTTCTTTTATCCAAATTCTTACAACTGTTTCCTTACTGCTATCTGCCCCTTAAGTCTACATTTTACATACATACAAGTTCAAAGTGCAAATATGATCATGTCATTCTGAGGCTTAATGCCCTCCAGTGGTCCCCCTTTGCTCTAGCAGTGATTTTCAAAGGAGAGGTGTTATATTTGCAGGGGAAGAGAACATTTTCTACTTCAACTAGAACAATTTCTACTTCTATCTGCCCTTCAGGAATTGTATAGAAGCATTTCTACAATGATAGGGTTCAGAAGTACTACTCCATAATAGAGAAAGCTCCTCAACAGAATACACAGGTTTCCCACAACCTGGTCACTCACTTTGTGTCCAATTTCAGGATTTACAGTTCAGGAATACCAAATTGCTTGCCCTAATATAGCCCCTATTTTACATTTCAGTGCCCCTGTTTTATTTATTCTCTCAACTTTAAACACCAGCACTCAGTTCTTTTCTATTCTGTACCTGTCAGATAAACTCCTATTCATCCTAAGGTTCAGAATAGACACTGACACTTCCAGGACTCTTCCCTCTGCACTAATGCCATAATTGGCCATTAAAATATAATTGCCTTAGCTTCCTCCCATAACAATCTTTCATCACTCTAGTTATTATACTGATTTATAACTTTCAACTAATTTCACGTAAATTAACAGTTTGTACCTTACTACCCAATCCCCAAATCTTAAAATAGTCACAAACCACAAATGAATGAATAAATCTTTTATAGCAGGATAGGGACCATTTTAGGCAAAGAAAAAGCATAGTATCGGGGAAGAGGTTAGTTAGCATGCATTTTTAAAAAAGATTTATTTATTTATTACGTATAAAGTATTCTGCCTAATGCAAGCCTGCATGCCAGAAGAGAGCACCAGATCTGATTACAGATGGTTGTGAGCCACCATGTGGTTGCTGGGAATTGAACTCAGGTCCTCTGGAAGAGTAGTCAGTACTCTAACTTCTGAGCCATCTCTCCATCCCTAGCATACATTTTTAAAATGTGTTTTGGAAGAGGAAAAGGACAAATGCCAGGAGCTTCTAAGAGATAGAAGCAGAGAATAATACCAAAATATATCATGACCACACTTAACACCACATATAATTCAAAGAGCATTGGGAAGCCACCCACGGCTTTAGATATAAGAAAGGCCACTTTTTTCTTCCAATATAGACTATAGATTAATATTTAGAGCCTTCATTTTTAAAATCAAATACCCTTTTTTAATAAGCTTTCTTTGACAATTCCCCACTACCAGTAAACTCTAAATGATATATGTAGTTAAATCAAGGTTCTTTAGTTAACACATTCTTTCTAATTTCTACTTTAACTGTATTATCATCAAATATCACTTTTTAAAATATTTTATGTGTATGCATATAGGCCCAAACACATACATATGGGCCACGTGTACACAGTGTCCATAGAGGGCAGAAGAGGGTATTAGATTCCCTGAAACTGGAGTTACTGATGGTTGTGAGCCATCCAATATGGTGCTGGGACCTAAACCTGAATCCTTTGCACAAGCAGCAGTACTTGCAGGTAGAATTTTCTGTCCTGCCAGCTCCCAAATAACCACATACAGACTTATTACTAATTATAAATGTTCGGCCGATAGCTTAGGTTTGCTATTAACTAGGTCTTGCAACTTAAATTAATCCATATTTCTTATTTACATTCTGCCATGTGGCTTGGTACCTTTCTTAGACATGGCAAATTCATCTTGATTCTCTCTGCGTTTTGTGGCAACTCCACTCTCCTTCATCCCAGAGAGCTTTCTCCCTGTCCACAAGCTCCACTTAACCTCTTTCTGCCTAGCTATTGACCATTTAGCTCTTTATATAACCAATGTGAGCAACAATTCTGCAATTGTTCTGCAAGTACGTTAGCTGCTCAGTCATCTCTTCAGTGTCACTTTTTGTCTTATTTCTATTACCAAGTTACTTATAGAAAAGAACTGTGTTTCTATCTTTGTAATTCCTAACACAGAAAATGCACAAACAGGCAAACATTACATTTGTTAAATAACTAGAAAATTATTCTAAATGAAATATATATCATGGGTACCTACCAGGGTTTACCAGTTCATTTTTAGCTGTTTTGCACAAAGTCTAACTGTTATTTTCATCAATGTATCTAAGGATAAATATGTCTTCAAGCAAAATACATTTTGAAATTACATTGTGCCTACCTTACTACCTACACACCTAGCATCCAACATTTAAAATCCAAACAATGGGAACCAAAGAGATGGCTCAAGTGTTTAACAATTCCTGTTGCTCCTCCAGAGGACCTAAGTTCAATTCCCAGCATCTATACAGCAGCTCACAACCATACATAACCGTAGCCCCATGGTATCCAATACTCTCTATTGGTGTGGAGTTATACATGCAGACAAAACATGCATATACATAAAATAAACAAATAAAACTCTTTAAGAACTCCGAAACACGGAAAGCATATTTAGCTTTGAGAAAAATGGAGTTAAGTTTATCTTGATAAGTTAATACTGCTAAAAGAAACTCACAAACTTGGGTTTCTTTGTATTTTTATGTTGGCTACACCTGAAAGGAACATGACTGTTTTCTCTATCACTTCCCCTCCACTCCTTATCTGTAATTTTCTTGATCTTCTCTCTTGAAGGGAAAACTTATTTATTCTTCAACTCCTCATACACAAATGTGTCTGTCCTGGCACAAAGAAGAAGAAAACCTATGGCATTGCTATAGGGGGTAAAGGGAACACAGAGTGGGGTACTTAACTGAGCAGGAACATTTTTGTGATGAATTGTACATGGGTACTGCATATACCTTGTTTTTTTTGTTTTGTTTGTTTGTTTGTTTGTTTGTTTGTTTGAGACAGGGTTTCTCTGTGGCTTTGGAGGTTGTCCTGGAACTAGCTCTTGTAGACCAGGCTGGTCTCGAACTCACAGAGATCTGCCTGCCTCTGCCTACTGAGTGCTGAGATTAAAGGTATGCGTCACCACCGCCCAGCACAACTTGTTTCCTGATGTTGTACTATCTGTTCTTAAACTATAGTCCTGATCTGAACAAAATACAGGCAAGGACAAAAAGATGGCAAATGGTCTGTTTTTGTCACTCCTTGCTAACAGCAATAATGAGAGACAACAGAGTAGCTAAATCAAACATCTTAAATTATATTTTTACTTAAATTGGGTAATTATAAATCTTCTATATTAATATTTACTCTGTGAATTTTTATTATTCATTTTAATGAAACAACACAATTTTGAAAGGGCTGAACTTTACTGAATGTTTTAATAAAATTAAATATAATAATACTAAAATACTGGAAGTGGAGAGGAAGATGTTATTAAGTGAGGGAGATTTTTCAATGGATGAAAAGAACAACGAAGTCCTTTATGGAAGCACCTTAGCTGAGCCCTTTCAAGTAATCACTGCTTACTAAATGAAAGAAGAAAACTGAAATCACTTTATTATTACTACCTTATATTTATCAAATTTAGAATGATGGAAAGAATGATTTATTTATTTTTTAATAAATAAAAATTTATTTAGAGATAAAGATATGAAGGGTGAAGCAAAAGAAGAGAAAAATTATGTAGGAAAATATAAATGAGAACTAAGAAATGCCTCCTGTTCCATCCTTCTTCTGAACACAGATTTCAGGAGGAACACCTTCTGAATGGGTCCTCTATCCACTACATCTTTTTAGTTTAGAAATCAATACAATTAGTGTTTTACTGATTCAAATATTTTCTTCTCCTTATCTGCTATTTTGTCTCTTCTTTACCAAGACCACAGTCATTTTTTATGCAATGGAGGTGGACTTGGATGTAAAAGGATTGATATGTTAAGAAAGTTTGAAGAATTAAGTAGTAAACGGTATGTGATAAGTTCAAAAGGATTTCTCCCTCCTTTTGTCCCCTCCCTTCTCAGTGGTCTCAAAAACAGAAGTGGGTGTTTATTCTCTCTTCTTTCTTTCTTTCTTTCTTTTTGGGACAGGCTGTATTCTTTTGCCTTTCATGCAGTTATGATTCACTGGCTTATAGAAACGCTGCTTTCATCTACTGTCTCAAGGACTACCGTTATAGCTGCTTTCTGCTGTTGCTAGCTCATGGGTACTTCTCTGCCCTTCAATAAGGTCCTTATTTGTCCCATACTTCTTTAAATTGCCCATTTATCAAAATCTTTCCATTAGCTGAGTTTGAAGTCTGCTTTCATTGGGTTTTATCTTACTTAGGGGTTCTACTACTATGATGAAACACAGTTACGAAAAGTGACATGGAGAGGAAAAGTTTTATTTCAGCTTACAGTTTCACATTACAGTTCATCACTGAGGGAAGTAAGAGAAGAAACTCAAACACAGCAGGAGCCTGGAAGCAGAAGCGGAGGCCAGAGAGGACTGCTCCTCATGACTTGTTCAGCCTGCTTTCTTAGGACCACCCATACAGGGTTGACACAATTCACAGCGAGCTAAACCCTCCCACATCAACCAAGAAGAGTACCACAGGCTTGCCCACAGGCCAATCTGGTAAGGGCATTTTCTCCATTGAGGGTCCTTCTTCCAAAATGACTCTACCTTGTGTCAAGATGACATAAAACTAGTCAGGACAGGAATAAACAGATATAATTTAGTCCCTCTAGACCACTTGCAAAACCAAGTTTCCACAACTTAAAACTTTCCCATTCCAAATTTATCAACTTGGTATGATTTTCATTGTTTTCTTATTCAAAATCCAGCCCTCTCTTGTGGAACTTGCTATTTCACTGCAGCAACGAAATTATGACACTAGCACCCATTTAGACTGCAGTTTATGGTTGCTAGAGCCTGTATTTATATAATGCAACTTTATCAAAATACAAATAAGAAATACAAAATTTCAGAAATGTGCTTACAAATGAATAGTAGCTTTGCTTCTTACCTCCTTCTCCTTGTTGAGCAACACCAACTGGCTGTCTGTGAGGATGCAGTACTTCCTTTCCCATGATGTTGTCTCAGTGTAGGGTGACTGACCACAAGACAGACGATGGGTGGGTGGTCCTTTTACATCTGTATAGCAAAAGAGAAACACAAATGAACAAACCATTCTCATACCTGGGATACCAGTATTTGAAATACAAGATTCTCTAAAGGCAAATTAACAGAAGTGATTCTAAACATGAATCTCAAACTATTATAATGGAGTAAGGAAGACTTGGTCCTACAATCTTCAGAGAAGCTCAAACATTCCAGAAGAAAACTTGGCACAAACTTGATACAGTTAACAACATAGTATTTAGACTTAAACAATAGGAGGCTGCTCCAAAGCTAAGCCAATGCTACTCAAAATGAAATGGGGATAACACAAAGAAAAGAAGAAAGGAAAAAGATGCCCAGCCTTTGGACAAAGAGGATGTTAATGTACATTTTAAAAATACAATTAATCAAAAATTGAGTGAGTAGCCAGGCAGTGGTGGTGCATGCCTTAATCCCAGTACTCAGGAGGTAGAGACAGGCAGATCTCTAAGTTTGAAGCCAACCTGGTCTACAGCGAGAGTTCCAGGATGGTCAGAGCTACACAGAGAAACCCTGTCTATAAAAACAAAAAAGAAAAAGGAAAAAAAAATCTAGCGAGCAGGGTTAAGAGCAGACTGACTACTTCAACAAAATGAATTTATATTCATAAGAATTGGAGCTACTTAAACTATAACATCACATTACCACTAGAGGCCACTAAGATCTTAAGATGTACAAAATGATTTCCTCAAGGAAAGATCTAAAGATGTATTACGCCATGCATCTTAAAAGGTGAGGGTGTTCTAACATTAAACAAAATGTTAACAATCCCCAAGTCCCAATTGATCACTATTACCCTTTGCTCCTTTAAAGTGTTTTAATATAAACTCTTGACTCATTTATATTGTGAAATGTGGATCATACCTTAATAACTACACATTAGATGATTAAATAAAGTTTTATGATAGTCCCTTACATACAATAAAAGTTGTTAGGCCACAAAACAAAATCAACTGCTTCAAGCGCCTTATTTATTGCTACTAAGATATGCTACAGGAGCAATCCAAACTGAAGACAGTAGAAAACAAATACCTAGAAGGACAAGGGCAAGGCTGCTGTAAATCCTAAATAGCATGTATGAATGGCATTGACTTCAATAAATGCAAATGATTTCCAACTGTCTCAGGTTATAATTACCCAAATAGCAAAATTAGGAAGGTATGTGTAGAAAGCTACAGCTCAGTGGTCAAAGCTCTTAAGTACATATCTTTCCTCTCAAATCCCATGTGTTAAATAATACCTTTCTTTTTTTTCTGGCTTAAATTCTTAGTATCTATAAGCCTATCTAACTATGTCTTATTTAGGGAGCTCACCAATTCCTCCAAACCCAATTCAAGATCTAAGAACCCATAATACTAAGAGTTTGGCTAAATATAGTACTGATTCATAGGAATTTACTGCCTCAGCATCCTATTTCTATCTGTTCTGTAAAATACATAGTAGTTACATATGGCATTTATAGAACCTCCACTCTTTACCTATAGCTTTCCCTTTGTTAGTCTAAGCATCATTATTTAATGTTAGAACTGCATGAAAGAAAAATACATTCTTAATCCTTTGGATATGTATATAATATTATTGTTTAAAGTTATGCCAAATGTGGTAAGAGTCATATGTTTTAGACAAATCAGTTACATTTTATCACAGTGTGAGCTTAATTCCAGAGTCAAATATTAAGACAACTTAAAGCACGAGAGATAGAAAACAATGACCTAGACAAGTTTTATTCAAATAGCTAACTATATTACACAAGTAAGGCATGTATAACCTAAACTCTACTGTACTTTATGACTGATACTACAACACAATTCTATTAATAAACCCTACCCTTTAAAAATTAGAATTTTAGACACTATAAATGTTTCCTGCCAAAATATAAATCTATATTAGCATTAACCTTAAGAAAACAAAATTATCTGTGTGATCCTGAGTAGTTTTCTTAATCCCCCAACATTTTCCATTTGTGTAGCCTGAACTTTATTCTAGTTTCTTCATTTATGTGAAATTTTGATCCCCAGAATCATTTAAGTTCATTGCTAAATGTAGGATGAAATAGGAAGCATCTCAAAAACTTTGTCTAAAATGAGAGATTGATGAATCATCCCAGGGGCCAGTATGGTTTATTTTCATAGCTATTTCCAGAAGGTTTTTATTATATATATATAGTTTTAATAACTACATGGAAGAAAACAGAGAAATAATTATTATGTTCTGCTTAGTATTTATGGATTAAGATTTAAGAAATACTTTAACAAAAACAGCAACAACAACAAATCCCCAACATTTTTTAAAGTCTATAAATTTAATTTAGTCTATAAATTTAACTTAGTCATTCTATCTATCTCTTTGGCTAACTGAAAGATTAATAGCAAGGTCTGCATATCGAGAATTATAAGAACAGAACAAGTTCAGGTTTTTGCCCTAGTTCACCTTAACAGTTCTACCAATCTTCATTTTTGACTCTAGTGACTTACTTCTAATTCTGACTTTCAATTATTTTTAGTACCTAAAATTCACTAGGGAAAAGCATAACAGACTTACAGAGAAGATTCTTAATAGCAAAATTAGAAACAATTTTAGATTTGCTTTGAGAATACTAAGGACATGACATGCTGGCCTCATTACAAAAATTAAATAAGTTTAGAAACATTAAAAAGAATCCAAAGTAAACTTCTACAGAAAACACTTTAAGACTGGATATTACCTTGTAGCCTTAAAATTATCAATTTTTTTATACCACGATCCCTTAAGACTGAGAAACTACTGAGGATATATTTATATAGGTCATGTCAATATTAGAAACTAAAATTTACCACATATCAATATTGAAATACGCTTTAATGAAACATAACTATTTTTAATAAAAAATCTAAAAGAATGACACAGTTTTTACATTTTTCAAATGTCCTCAAAGACTGGCTGAATAGAAGACAACCCAGTTCTTTTGTTTTTCTATACCCAATTGGTTGCTGTCGTTTTTTTGGTTGATATATAAGAGAAAATCAGGACTTAGATATGAAGGTTAAAACAGCAGTAGTATTTTTATAGTATCTTCAAATAATTATGGGCATTCTTCAACATAGTACCAAAACCTGATAAGAATTTTTGCAAGAGTAAGCAGGAATCAGTACAATGTGGAATCTGAAATGACAGCAATAAACTTTTCATATAAACACATCTAAAAAAATCAATGGTATATATTTTCTTTTGAGTAGCTCTTTTTACCCCATATGTATGAGTTTATAAACAGTATTGATCATTCAGAAAATACTGGTTGGCTTTGATTGCTAATTTTCCAAACGATGACATTTATACACTGTAGAAATAACCTACATTCATCAATCTTTGCAATTGTCTTGCTCTGATCACAAGTTCTTTGGATTCAAGGAAGCTGTCAAGCTCAAGGCAACAGATGGAAATTACCCAAACTGTAATTTTCGTTTTAGTCATGAATTTTTCTATAGCAATAAATACTGTTGGTTGTTTCCCCTGAAATAACAGTCTCACGTCTTTCCTTTTCTGGAAAATGTCTGTCATATAGCATACATGAAATGACCATGACCTGTTGTAGAATGATATCCTGTGAGCAAACTAGCCTTTCTCTTAATCAGAATAGTGACCATTTTCAAGAGACCCTGAGATAGGGTTTGTTGACTACTGATGTTTCCTATTAGAAGGGGTTGCTGGGGAAAGTCAGTGAAACCACACCTGAGATTCTGATGACTCCCCCCAAATGTCTCCTGGCTATCTATGCAAGTCTGTTCTGATTGCATGTAGTCTTGTGGTCTTGGGAAGTGTTAAGAGTATAGAGAATAGAAAGGATTGCAGAAGGGGAAAATCCATTTAAGCAGCAATGGAGAAGTCATGATCCATGCTAGTTAAGATTTTTGAGTGCAGCAGCTTTGGGGGTCCTACACATTCCTACAAGTAGTCCCTTATCCATGCTCTATCAGTAGTTCTAAACTCACTGGTTCCCTAGACTAAACTCTGATGGAACTGTACTTTGGGTTGTTGTTTCAGTTTATAAGGATGGGTAGGTGTTGCTGACATTTTCCCAGTGAAGGAATTTGTACAACTACCTTTCAGTCTTATGAAAACTTTAACTTAGAAAGGAGGTCCTAGGAGTCCAGGGTTTCACAGATCAAAAGCTAGAAACATCCACCCATATGTTGATAGGAAGCCAATGGAGAACTATAAGAAAACTGGCTATGTATTATAAAATCAAGTGAGTGAATAAAGACCAGACATTTTGGCAAATGGGAGATTAATATAATGGGCGGGTCTAGAAATGATTACAATCTGCATTAAATTGTTCAAATTGGAAATAGTAAGAGAGCTTATGTGACCCACATTTTGAAATAGGAATCAGGACTGGTAATTCTCTAGCAGTCTGGGTTGAACAGCACAAAAGAGGTGAGAAAATAGAACAATGAATAGAATTACAAACTGATAAATGCTCATAAAGTAAATTATGTAATTATGATTCTGCTTTAACTTTAAAGAGAAAATCCAACACAGTTTTCAAAAAGGGAATAAAACCTAAAAGGGAAGCCAATTTTAAAAGATTCAGTGCAACTCATTTTTCCCCAAGCAATCTCAAAATAACATTTACAATACTTGGGTTATTTGGTATACTAGTAAATCTAAACTCTTGTCTCCTTCAAATGTTTAACTACCTAACAAGAAATTAGTGTTATCTTGTGTTAGCCCTTCTTTGTAATGGATACCATGGCATCTCACATAATGAAGATGAAGCTGCAACTTTCATTAGGCACAGACAATACCTAATGAAATGTCAGTTTTCCCCTCATACTTAGGGAAGTATAAAAAAAAATAACAGAATTAGTAAAGGGATGTGATTAGAAGTGGAAAGGGAGCGGAAAGAGAAAAGGACAAGTCTAAGGCCCATACAGTAATGTCACACACAAAAAAAAAAAATGCTGTAGGAAACACTTTTGTATATTTTCTTAAAACTCACAAAAGTTGCTTTTAAA